CGACTTCTTGAACCCACCGTGCCGTAGGCCTGTGTTAACACTTCCCACACCCACTCCCCATATGTAAAAATTATCTTCCCTGTCTCACTTTGTGAAACCTTGATGCTTTGCATCTTTAAATAAGCTTAAAACTCACTTCCCCTTTGAGTTCTCATCCAGCTCTCGTTACTTTCCAAGGTCAGGCATTTCCGCAGACATCCGCCACCGTCTCTCCTCACCTGGAGCACGAGACGCGGGGGATGGAAGGCACCGAATAACTGCTGCCTCCGGAGAAACGCTCGTGGCTTTTGTCACGTCACTGCTGTCTCAGCATCTTGTTCCACCAACTGGCCACGCGTCAGAGTCGATACAGAGAATCGATGTCAGGTTTCAACATTTGAAAATCTGATTTGTACAGTGTTCCTGAAAATTACATAATCAGATTTTTCTCATCCTTCCCAAAGGTCACGGGAGGGCGTGCAGGCCAAACATCCGTGGACAAACACCTCGGCCATGGGTTTACATTCAAGCGCTGCATGCCACGCCGTGGGGTTGTTTGAAGTGTTACTTCCTGAAGCTGCAGGGAGCCGTCCAAAGGCCAAATGTAAACACGCAGTCTGACATGCACCCGGGGGGACCCAGCTTCCCAGGGCAGGCACCTAAGGACATGTCACCGATTGTACACACGCCGTGAAAAACACGGCGGTCCCCCGATGAAATTCAAGCTTCCGTCCACTCCGCTTGTGTCCCGTGCAGTCATGACTATCCATGCCGCATTCTATTTGAGTATCATGGGTCCACTTTTCTTCTGGAAAGGGATTGAGGAGACAGACGTCCATTGCGTCTTTGGAATAGCTGGGTTTCAGGTTTGACGCGATAGTCTAATTAAGTCACTGAGTCGTGACCATATGCACTCGTCAAGTCAAAGCGTGTGGAAGGAGCGCCGGGGACCGTGACTGGAATGACAGCCCGTCCAGGGCCTGCGCGACAGGCGTGGCTGCGTCAGCTCTGATCCAATCACCCATGAGGGGAGACAGCTGTGCCCGGGGGGTCCTTTCCAGAAACCCCGCCACGTTACCAAACGCCGGCCCCAGGCACAGAGCCCCGGTAAGGAGTCTCTTTCTGGAAGCTTCTGTGGGAAAGAGGCAGATGGCTCCAAGGCAGGGATGGAAGGGAATGAGGAGTAGGGTGTGAGTCAGCACAGTCAGTGTTTACCGAGCACGTCGTGTGCACTCGTCACTGTGGGACACGGTGGGACATTCACTGTCCTCAGGGAGACGGGCGAGAAGGCAGTGAGGATGAATCGCAGGAGGAGCAGTTGGGTTGAATTTACTTGTTTTGAATTAGTCTCTCCCGGCCACCGGATCGTCACATGCTGGTGATATTTAATTCTGAGACTTCAATCTTTACACAGACCCGTCACCTTTACATAGACCTATAATCATTGTCACCTATGCTTCACATTTTAGGGTACTTTGATAATTTTTTAAATGAAATTGCTAACACTTTTATGGTAACATGTGCGTTTTTGCACTTTTTGTTTACAACTGGAAGTATAGATTTTAATTCGTCCTCAATTATTTCTACTTACTTGTTGACATTGTTCACATTAAAATTTTAATATTTTTTTCTAAAATTGAGTGTCAGTGAGAATCTTCATTCTCTAAATCACAAATATTTCTTTCTGCTGCCAACCAGTGACTTTTTTAGTTTTTAATTACTCCCGCATTTCCTAATTTATTTTACTTTTAAAATTCTTTAATTAATTTTAAGTCTCTGAGGCCTAGTTACATTTTTAGCCATATGCGGGGGAAAAATGACTTCAAATTATAATTTGTTACTGATTTATTGTTTCTAAAATGTTATTCTTTCCAATTGGTCTTTGAAAAACTTTTTTTCCATTGTTCCCACCAAGCTAAAAACTACATAAATCTTACTTATTGCGCTTACACCTAGAAGAATACATGATAAATTTTACGTTAATTTTCATATTTATCATTTAACTGAGCAAATATATATTTAGCAAGTCCCTCCTGAGGGCTGGACGTTATTCTAGATGCTGCATAGGTGGACATGGAGAAGCTGCCATCCCACGGGGTGGTTTAAGGTCCAGCCGAAGGCTGCGGGTGCAGCAGGACTGGGTGACAGAGCTACCCGCGGTGGGTGGCGGGGCCTGCGTCGTCCCCTGCCGTCCTCACAGTGTGCCGTGGGGACCAGTTCTTTCCTTTCTGTTCCATTAACAATCGAGGCTGTGCGAAGAGTGAGCGTTGGCGTTTCTCACATTCTAATAGAATTGTCAAAACGTTAAGGCAAAGGCGAGATCTGTGGAGGGGGACCCAAAAGGAGCCTGTTAGCCTGGTCCACGAGGCCAGGTTTACGGAAGACGGCGAGGCCCAGGTGGCCCCGGGTATGAAGCCCAGGCTCGGGGGGGCTGGGGCGGCACTGTGACCTTCCCTGTTACAGATGGCATCCTGCGACGCCCCAGAAAACGCGTTCTCTGCGCCATCGGCGGCGGTTTGAGATGCCGTGCGTTTATAGGTACAGTTTGAGATGCCGTGCATACTATAGGTATGGTTTGAGATGCCGTGCGTACTCTGGGTACGGTTTGAGATGCCATCGTGTTATAGGTACGGTTTGAGATGCCGTGCGTGCTGTAGGTACCGGTACACCTCCATTCACTGAACTTTTTTCTTCGCAGCCACTCATTTTAACATCGACATGATGTCCTATTAAAGACAGGTTTTCTGGCTTGACGATATAGAATGGCAGGAATTATTTTTTCTGAGCCGCATCAGAAAAAATATTTCCCAGTATCACAGTCGAGACCGTTAAAGCTTTAAGACATGGACGTTTTCTTCTCAAGAGGCCTACCTGGGGAGACCCTAATGTTCAGGAATAATTTTTTACCCCCTCGAAATTTTGGAAGTGAGTCCAGTTCCTCGCTTCCTGGCGACGATATTCCCCAGTCGAGTTTTCTATGTTGTTTACCCTTTACTGTCGTCCACATGCATTAAACAGGCCGTGCGTGACACGTGGCGAAGTTGCCCACGCAGGGCCAGTCATGGGATCCCGTTCGTGTTTTGCTGTGTTTCTTAGGAGGCTCCTTCTTACATCAGCCTGTGCTAGTGATAATTTTAAAAAGTGACTTCTTCCTATTTTCAATAGAAAAATGAATAGAAAGGCGTGCAGGCTACATTCGTCTTTCACGGAGGCTACGAACGCGGCGGCTTGGGGCAGCGTCAGTAGCAAGTTTTAAGATGTTTGCTAGATAGACACCGAAAACTCTTGTCTTTGGAAAAAAATTATCTGGACACATTCTCCACTGGTGGGTATCTTATAATATGAAGAATCCCTAAGAGCTAATGAAAATAATAAAGGCCCTTTAAAAAAGGGGAGGATTTGTTAAATCTAAACGTTCCCGAACGGGGAAGAAAAACAACAAAGGCGCTCGTGGCCACATCCCCCGCCCCATCCTGTCCCTCCCCATTCATGGCAGAAAGCACCTTGCTGCCTTCTGCATCACTGACGATCAAACCCCAGCTCGTACGGAGTCCAGGACTCACGTGCTCCCCGAGGCAGAACTAGAACGTTTTCTACCTTAGAAAATCACAGGCAGTCACATGCCCAAACACTTAAAAATGTTTATAAAAAAAAAAAATTAAAAAAAGACTGTCTTAGAAATAGTCATTGTGGAATGGAACGCAGATTTTTCTTTTCATAAAAGAAGCAAAGATGACTGTGGACTGAACTACTTTCTATGGTGTCATCAAACAGTTAGGTTTCTGTAGACTTAATTCAGAAATTATTTCTTAAAAACTAGAATTGAATAAATTTTGACTATATACTGATTTCATAAACATGTCAATTATATTAAATATCTAAGTAGTAGTATTTGTTTTCTAAGTGTTTCAATATAGGTTAGTTTGTGCATAGTGAATGTCATGATAAAATAATCTTAGAAATCACTGAGATCCCCTCTGATTCAGTGGGCAAGAAAGAAAACAGAAAAATTGTACTTTATTATACACATGCACCCCACACTCATGGCAATAAAAATGGGTATACACATAAAATAATTTAAGTTTGTTCATTAGGAATACTTTTTTATTTGGAGATTGTGCCTTCTTTAAACAGTAGGACCCTAGTTTGTTTGAATACTACATAACAGCAGGTTTACTGATGACATGCAGAAATATAGAGACGATAACTAACAATCATCGACTTTAACTATTCAACTTAATGGAGCATCAGTTAAGTTCTGAATCGTGTCTTATGGGTGTGGAACGGCACCGTCTGGATCAGGTTTCAAGACAGTTGAATCAGGCAGAGAATTGAACCCGTGTAAACAGTGAGAAGGCCAACAAAACGGAATGGAAACCATCTCACCGAAATGCAAGCGAAGGCCGTGCGTGCCTCGGTAGACGCGATCGTTAATACTTTGTTGCGAATCAGACTATAAATGCGTAGAGACTCGCAGGTGGCTTGGAATAAAATAACGGTACAGTTTTTGTAAAGTCCGATAGATTCATGAATGAGGTCTTTAATTTTTTCTTTCAGTTGTTTATCTATTAAACATCGATTAGTGATGTGTATCGGACAAGGCTGGTCTTGGAGGGTCTTGGAGGAATAAGGATAAATAAGGCATGCATATTCATTGACGCTGTATTTCTGACGTCACTTTTCCAGGTCTTCTGTATCCTACTGTATTACCTGGTTGCTACCTACACGGGACCGTAGAATACCGTAATTAGAAAAATAATCTAGACACTATTTGGAACTCTGGCTCCGATCAGAACTGTATTTCCGCCTCTTAACAAAATGCATACATTTCTACTTTTAAAATAATAATTTGCACTAACGTGCAGGTATAAAACAGGAATACATTTCTCTGTTTAATCTTGAGGCAAAATTAAAATATTTTGCTGATTTTGATAGTTCAAAAGCAGCACCCGATTTGTGACATACATCGACCTCAGTAGAAAATCTTTCTTTAACTCTCATCCCTTTTCTTTTTCCAATAGTCCTACCTAGCCACACGTGTGGAAACCCTGGGGAAATACTGAAAGGTGTGCTCCACGGGACGAGATTCAACATAGGAGACAAAATCCGGTACAGCTGTCTGTCTGGCTACGTCTTGGAAGGTCACGCGACCCTGACCTGCATCGTCAGCCCTGGGAACGGAGCATCCTGGGACTTCCCCGCCCCGTTCTGCAGAGGTGGGTACCGCTCGGTGAGACCGCCTTGCGAGCTGACCCCTGGGCAAGGTGGATGGCATCGGAGCTTGAACTGCAGGTGTCCACCTAGCGAGCAGAGGACACTTGCTGCCAGGTCTGCCCGTGTCGGCTCCTGCTGGGCCCAAAAGTAATATTTTATGTCCCCTAAGAAACCATGGCTGGACCCTGTAAAGTCAGTGACAAATTTACACATGCTCCTTACGTGTCCAAATTTGTCTTCATCCTCTCTCTCAAATTCTGTGGACTTCTGCATAGTTCGATCGCCTCTCTCCGTAGCATTCTAAGATTTACTACTCACCTTTACGTCCATCTTGATTTGAAGGTTTCTTTTTTATCTTTTTCTCATTAAAAATGAGAAATGCCCCTGGTAATTAAATGTTACGTTTTGAGGACTAAAAAAAAGGCTTTTGAAGAGGCGATCTTAAAGGAATGGGCTCTGCTAAGTTCTCATCATCGTGATTTGGCCTGAGGCTGGAATTACTTTTCTTAAAACCCTGTGATTTTTAGCCTTTTCTGTAATGTTATTTTACTGATCCAACAACTTTAAGAAAGAGCATGCTTTGATTCTTCGTTTTTGACTTTGCTGAGAAAAACTCATCTTATGGTTTCAAAAATAAAAGTATCACTAAGGTTTATTAAGGTCTTAATGTAATGGCAGAAAATGTACTCAATACTTGACTTGAATCGTATCATTTAATTCTCACAAGAACCAACCCACTGAAGTAATCATTTTTGACACTCGTTTACAGAGAGTAAAACTAACTTTTAGTGTTTAAAAGTTTCCAGAGGTAGTATAAGATGAAATAAACCGCAAATACGTCTCTGACTTCATCTCATGCTTGTAACCAGGCAAATAAATTCACAGCCTTAACTGTAAGTCGGTCATCACATGGCAGTGTATTATTTTTATCGGTATGTTTTTAGCCCAGTCTATGCTATCTGGTGAGTACTTTCCTATTTTCTTCAGTTTTTTTCTGTTCAACGTCGTGGTCTCGTGGGGTCTCCCTGACGTTAACGATGGCAGTGATGGCATCATTACCGCCATTGCTGATCAGGCGTCACGGGCCAGGCATTTCTTTCTCGCGTTTCGTCTTCACAAGCAGGTATTTGAAGGCGGACGTGTTTCACCGCTGAGGAGTCCGAGGGTTGGCGGGGAAACGGGACTTGCTCGGGGATTTCGTCTGGTAGCAGCGAGAGCTCAGAGCTCAGATGCACCGGCGACATTACCCCGCCTCCCAGGGCCCGTCCCGGCGCGAAGGCCGTCGGCTCTGCGTGTTACTTATCTTTCCCGAAGGCTCGTTTCTCTGCGCGTCCTAGTACACTTTTTCTCCTTACTGTTCTCAACCATATCTCATCTTTCTATTGTCAAACAGTAGTGTCCTCAGAATCTGGACCTCTGGGGTGCCCCTCACCTGCCGGGCCCCGTGTGAAGTCCCTGCGGTTGCGCACCCTCGATGACCCTCCTCACCTCTCCCGACGTTTCCATGGTTTCTCGTCCACGCTGGATGAGCGCTGGCCTCACTTTGGCCTTGCTCCCCCGTCGTCCTCCGTGTGACCTTATTCTTACTATCAGACTGTCTGTCACATCTCCATTCCCACGCCCACCATGCTAGTCCTGGGATGTTTTCCTTCTCGCCTACCTGAGGTTGGCTAAGGAGCTACACGTCCAGGACCTCGGCCCCCTGCCTACGTCGCCCACCCCCTCGCTCTCCCCGGCACGCACCTGTCCCCTCTCAGCCAGACCACCTCGGCGAGCCGCACACACCTCACCTCCTCAGCTGGGATGTCTCCAGAGGTGGACGTGACCCGTCCTCCGTGGCGTGCATCATGGCGGGGGGACTGGGACCACGACTCGGCGAACGCTGCAGAGAAGGCCCCCCGGAGAGTTCCGACCCGCACGGAACCAAGCCCGCGCCTGATCCCCAGCACAGCTCCCCACCCTCCCATGCCCCTCACAGCCAGAAATTGTACTTCACCATCTAATTCACACTAAACTCCAAATTTCAGTCATTTCTTACCATGGCAACCCCCTTTTAAATTTTATTAAGGAAAACATAATTCTTCCTGTTTATAGGATGTATTCCATTGCCATTTTATATCTTAGCTTAATGTCTTAGTGTCTCCGACTAGTTTATAACCTCCCAGGAGATACTATACAGTCATAAACGCTCAGTAACTATATCCTTGAATCTTCTCTAGGTGAAATTCAGCCTAATCTATAGCTATTTTCCTTTACTGCTGAGCCTCATCCCCCATTCGTAAACTTCATGGAAGTATAGCAAATGCTGGGTATCAAATAACGAGTTCCAGACTTGAAAATGCAGAAACAGACATTACCAGCAACTAAGGCAACTTCTTTTCTGCTCAGACTTCCCTCAGGAGTTTTCTGCTTAATTGATAGATCTTTATTAATTCCGCAATTATAAACCTTATAAAGTCAAAGTTTACATAACAGTGAGCTCATAATCATTCCCACCCTGTAGCCAATTTATTAAATCCCAGCCACATCAAGATGCTTTTGTCATGATTAATATTTTATTCCATATTACAGATGATTAAATCTGTGCTTAAATTTTGCTCTTTCCAATGCTGGGACTAGTAACATATCAAAGGACATTAAGTTAGATATAATTATTTTATGAAACAAACTTGAAAGATGCAACAGAGTTTGTTGTTGATTTGGATAACTGGATCGTAAGGAAAAACATCAGTGATCTGATTCTTATAAATCTGTAGATGTGGCACATTCTAGGAGAGATATAAGTGAATTTTAGCAACATGGGCTTAGATAATTTACAAAAATAAAACAAGTCTATTTTCTGCTTCTCCAACACTCTAGCTGTTTAGTTCTGGGATTTTTTTTTTCACCCGCGGCACCTGGTCTTCCTAGGTGGTGTCCCATCCAACAGGAATTTCTTGAGGGTTCATCTTACCAGCATCACTGACGGTAAAGCCACTCTCTCCTTCACAGTGACTTTTCACTAGTGCCGAAAATTTACACGCACCTTCAAGTGGCAGCATTAACCCGAACGATAGCACTCCGATGCAACCGTGCCGCCCTATGCATAAAGGGTAGCAGGATGCTCGAACCGTATATTTAACACAATCGATACCCGATAAAATGGGAAGTCAGCCAGCTCTACTGAAAACCGATTACCTTCAACAGGAGACCAGCATCGCGCCGCCTTCTCTCAGGGACAAGGGCTAGATTTTTCTTCTTCCGGAGGTGTGATGTCACGGGCCTCCTCGTTTGCCCTTGAGTTTTCTACTTAACGCCCGTATCTCCCCTGATTATTCTTCATTATCGTATATCGTTCCTGTGTCTCCTGCCAGCCTTTGCGGAGACTTACTGTCTCGGGATGTGCAGGTAGAGCGCGCATTTACACAAGAGAGATGAAAAGGAAGAAGGGAACTCAGCAGACTCAAGGACAGAGGCCCTGAGCTCGTGGTTGAAGTGCCTTCTTCATTTGCTTTATGCCCTTGTCCGCCCTCTTGTATTATCAAGTCACAGAGGCTGCAGTGTTAGAGGCCGGGGAACACATTACGTGACTTCGAGCTCCAGGATACCGGAGGGCCCTGGAGTACCAAAGCCAAAAGAGGGGGTGTTCTCCTTGAATGAATGGCGGGGCGTGGCCTCCAGATTTATGCTTTGATCGCACGAGAAGGTGGAAAGGAGGTAGGTGAGGACCTGTATTCAGAAAAGACTCCTCTGTAAGAAAACGTGCGACAAGTGCTTATTCTGCTTATGTAATCACACGGGACGGGCGCAGGTGTTTGGGGCCGTGCGCTCCCGCTGGCCTGGAAGAGGCAGGAGAGTGCACGCTCTGGAAGGGTGATGGGGCAGTCACAGCAGCGTATGCCACTCCGCATCAGCCAGCTCCAAGCAAACGCGAGTCCTCTGTGGCCGGAGCCTCGCGCTCTCTCTTCCCTGAACTCCACCTTTGCCTATGCCTTCCTCCTTTCGTATTTGCAAACTGGGCTTCGGAAAGGAGCTCTGAGCAGCTGTGGCCGAGTGAGACGCCCGAAGTCACCACGGGGACATCCGCAATTACCAGCTCTCCTAAATAACCGAGTTTACGTACTCTGCAGTCACAGATTAGCCTGCGTTAACGTTATGTGCCTGACGCACGTGAACGGCCATAGAAAGCGACTAAAAGTCACATTTTTATCACGTCGACTTGCGAATGGGCCAAAACCGATGAGCGCGTGGTCCCGTCTGCACCTCTAATCCCCGGGGGGTGCGCACACGGAGACTAGAGCATCCTCGTGGTGCAGGGGGAGCTAAAGCTTCACATTTGTTGACACACGATTTAAACGTATGGCTCAGACATTATAACCGGACACCTGTGCTTTTCGTTGTATTATCCTACTTTCATTCGAATTTGTGTAAGTGGTACCTGCTCACGCTCGAAAAACTTAAAAATACCGATGGCATTGCCGAGAAAACATCGAAACACCCACACTGTGGCGCTGCAGGTGCTTCAACGCTCCTGACCCGTTTGTGCGGGCTGTTTGGCTGTTATTATCTTATTTATACCGTTTTCTTTTTTAACAGTTTTGATGTTTTTAATTGACATCCTGTTATGGATATCGATGCATTTATATCTCGCCCGTTTGCTGTGTTTTGCTTTTCCCAATTTAATTGAGATTTCCACATATTATCTTTCCAGATTTAAGTAACATACTTGGCCCTTGATGCCCTGTTTCTTTCCCCTTGGGGCTGCTTTCTCGTTTTCTGTGGCATCTCTTGCCTCCCCGTGTCACGAGATGCGCACGCCCTTGACATGCCCCTCCCAGGTGCCTCCTGGTCTGTTCCTGCGTCTGTTCTCACGCGGCTGCCATTGAACTTTTGTAACCTCAGAGCTGTTAGCATTTCTGTTTGGTTGTATAATCATAGTTAAGTCCTTCTTGCTTTGTCTGAAAGCTGCTCACAAAAGTGGAAAAGCGAAGAACGGCATGAACACCCTTATAATGGCGTGGGT